AGCAGAAGCTGGTGACCAAACACCTCACCTATTTCCCCCCGCTTTAGCAGAGATAGGAAGGAAGATCCATTACCCAGTAGCACGCAGTCAGCAGCCAGAGTAATGTGACTAGCCAGAGTAATGGGTTGGACTAGATGACATTTGAAGGTCCCTTCCAGCCCTAACGATTCTATGATTCTATGACCTGAAGGTCTTCATTAGCAGAGCAGAGTTCCACAGCACAACACCCACCGTATTACCACCTTCCCCTTCTTTGGCAGCGTTAGGGGAAGGGTTGTGGGCCGAATGCACTGTGAAGTATGTTCTGTCTCTGTCTCATCAGCAGGACTAGAGGTCCCAGCTGGTGGACGTTTGCTGCTGAGGCATGGCCACATAAGCCTCCACAATGGCAGCATGTTGCCAGTACTTAAAGGGCTGCTATAAAGAGGACTGAGGCCCTCTCCTCACAGGGAGCCACATGGAGAAGATTAGCAGCAACAGGTACAAGTTGCACTGGGAGAGGTTTCATCTCGATATAAGAAATAAACTTTTTACTGTGAGAACAATCATTTGCTGGAACCACCTCGCCAGGGACACAGTAGAGTCCCCATCACCAGACATTTTCAAGATGGACAGGGTGCTAGATAACCTCATCCAGGCTCCCTTCCCCATGAGAGGTTGGACTAGATGATCTTTCAAGGTCCCTTCCAACCTGGCCTGTTCTATGATTCTATGTTTGGCCTACTTTCAGGCTGCTCCTTCCGCTTGTATCCCCCTCCAGCATTCATAATGACACCAGTCACAAACACGACACAAAAGCAAACAAGCCTGTCAGATATATCAAGGGCAACTTTCCACCTGAAGAACAGAAGCATCATGTCCTTGGAGCTAGCCTAGGAATAGCCTCACTTAATTATTGTTACTTGGAAATGAGCTGTCCTAATAAGCCAAATAGCACATTTGAAATCCTACAGGAGTTTGACCTACAACTACTGTTCTACTTGGATTGCGTGTTTTAGGATGTTTGACCTTCATCCCTGAGTCTCAGTCAAAAGTAATATTGTACAGTTATATAATACCCACAACCCTCCCCTGCTGTTTAGGCTAGATTAAGTGGCAGGGTCCTTGCATAAACTCAGAATAATTCTTGGACAGGTTTTCAGTCTGGATTTATAAACACAGAAAGCTGCCGTCCTTGAGCTCCCCGAAGCACCCCTCCCCACATTGATGAAGACCCATCAAAAGGAGGTTCCTGCTACATCAGCACTGTTGGTAACTACAGTAACACCAAACTGCAGTGCTCAGGGAAGGCCATGTGCTGATACATGGCCCAAGGAAATGTCCAGAAGTACCATCATCTTCCATGAGGATTTTCAAGACTGTTTGCTCTGCTTTCTACCACAGGTTCTAGTACATGGGCTCATATCTGGTCTGGTCTGCACTGTTAAAGATGATGCAGATCCTTATTTCCTGTCAGGTCAGGACCTGCAGCTCCAATATGACAATCTATTGTCGTTGCGTAACATCCTCTTCATCCAGATGAACTACTGCTTTTTGTATTGTAGAAAGAGCTAGAGAAGCAAAGGAGGCTGGAGAAAGAGCAGCAGCTCCAGAAAAAGGCCAGAGATCACTATGACAAGGTCCTGCTGAGAAAGCTGGGAATGGTGCCATGGAAAAGGCTGATGGAGCAAGCGAAGGAAAACCTGATGGTAAGTGCTGAGGATAAAGGAAAGGACTGGTGCCATGGGAGGAAGGGAAAAAAAATGGATGCAGCACTTAGCAGAAACCTTAATAGGTTCTTAAGCCAGGTAGAGATGGAAAAAGCAAAAATTCTCTCTGCACACCCTGCCCTATATTAATTCTTTCAATCAGCTCTTCTGACTACAATCATGAAAGGTCATCAAAACCCCTCATTTATAGCTGATTAAACAGGAACCAAAAGGACAGAGAAAGGAACAAATTTCCGTCTAACAAGAAGTCATCTTTTGTTACCCTCCACTTGTCTGCAGTACTAACTGCCACATGATGCGATGCCAGTAACACCGTGGGAGTTAGTTTGGTATGATACAGCCAAAAAAAGAAATGGAAGTTTTATGACATGAACCTGTCAGCTCTTTGCTCCACAGCAAAGCTCAGCAGTAAGACTCTGCCCAGGCACTGTAGTGGCAGCAGTATGGCTCCCCCAGCCCATTGCCAGGGCTCTCCCTCTCTCCGGAGTCACTGCTGGTGCAGTGTTGGCCGCTGCTAGAGGCAGGACACCACAGGTGACAGTGCAGCCATCTCTTCCAGCCTGGCCATGCCTCCCGTGCAGAATAGCAAGTGGTAGCTTCTGATACCTTGACATGTAAATATTGGTAATGAAACACTTCCATACGTGACTGAATCGGCACACCTTATCAGGGGTGGACTAATAACACCTGGACAAATGCACATAGGCCTCTGGCTGAGATGAAAAAGAGGAATAGCAGCTGCTCCGTAAGTCCATCCTGCTGTTCAGCGTTACGGACGGGGTTGGACTAAACTGGTATAGGCCATGTTCCTGCTCCGTTCACAATGGGTTAAAGTATCTAATTCAAAAGGATATTCTCTGGAAGTGACACAGCAGTAGCCTGATAGAGAGACTGGTCTTGCTCCTTATGCTGACTCCTCTTTGCGGGAACATATCCTGCAAGTTATTCCAGCTGTCAGACATCTGCATTTTGGGAGCCCCAAAAAGCTGAGGTGATTTTCTAGTGCACCCAGTTTTCTGTAGCTGTATGTAATCACTAGTCCAAGTAACCAGCTGCCATTTCTGCTGCCTTTACTCAGGTGGCACAAAGGCACCACTGCTTGAGTCTGCAGAGGAAAGGCCTGAGGACTTGGCTCCAGCACACCCAGGAGAGTCTCATGGACAAGATGTCACAGGCTGAGGACTTCTATTCCCATACATTGCTGAGACGAGGCTTCAGGAACTGGCTAAAGGTTTGCCTGCACCGCAGTGGAGAAATGAGCTGGCTGCTGCCACACTTTCCCCTCGCCACAGTGCCACTTCACACACCTGCAGCCCAACCTTTGCTGAGTTACTCTGTCGCCATTCCACCAGCATCATTCCCTTCTTCAGAGACCTTCTTTCAGCTCTCCACTATCCATCGTTCTTCTCCATCCAGGACGCTCCTATGTACTGCTCCCCACCTGCACCTTTGCACTTTCTCACCCTGGTCCCCGTTTCCTCTGCTCCTGTCCCCATTACCCTTCACTGCCACAGTCTCAGCACTGCTCTGTTTCTGCTAATTGGGCTGGGGGTTGGGAGGAAGAAGCCATTCTCACCTCTTTCTTTGTCCTTCTTCTCTAGTACAAGGATTATCTCTCCACTCTGGAGAAGAGAGCGAGTACCCTCCATGCAGCCTGGCTCATGAGGAAGTACTTCTGGGCATGGTTTGATCTGACTATGGAGGTAAAAAATATCTTTTGGGAGAAGCTGAAGATTGCTACTGAACACTGTAACAAGTAAGTGCATTCCTTTGCCAGCAGTTCTTTTCACTTAGGTTTAATATACCGTATAGATTATTTTTGAGACTACTTTTGACAGGTCAATTATCTGCTCTCCAGGAACATGTGAAGCAGGTTCTTTGCTGCTGGTATTTTGCTTCTGTGATATGCACAGACATCATCAGCAGAGGTTTATGGTAAGAATTTTCCATGCAGCCTGGAAAAGGAAATTTAGCGGTACCCTTCACAGGACTTTTAATCTGCTGAAAGAGAATACAGTGGAAGTGGATAAGTGGCTGAAACTTTCTAAGCTGATTAGCAGATCTGGCCACGCAACTTCTTCTAAAAGCCACCCTAGGAAAATCTTTAAGTACAACTATTGCAAGCCAAACGATCGTGCAGGAATTACACTATATTCTTTTGTCCACAGCAGATGATTTAGTTCACAAATCCAGAGTTGATCAACTAGAAACTCTACTTAAGGAATCTTTCGGTTTATGCCATCGTCAGCCCGACTTAGCAGCGAGAACTGTCTGGTTCTACTGATCATGACGGGAGCCAGATTCACCCAGTTCACTCATTGTCCCATAGCTGCATTAGCCATGTATTTCAACAGGAGAAAACTATTGTCAAAGTTCAGCAGAAAACAGAAGCACATTCATCTGCCCCGCAATGAAAGCATGTCAGCTGCATGCAGTCAGGAATAGGCTGTGCCTCCGCAGAGCCCAGACAGGATCCTCAGCACCTGGGAGGAGGAACTGAATTAAATTCACCTCTGTTGTGGTAGAGCGAACCTGTTCTAGCTTGCCATGTCAGTAAGATCAGAAGAGTGCGTGATTTAACCCAACAAGCTAGCAAACTGGAGGAATCAGGGAAAATTCCGACCCAGGAAGAGACTGGATGCATTCTATGCATGACCTCATATAGGAGCATAACCGCGTGTCGTTCCTCATTACCTCTTCCCCACTGACTGGCAAAATGCAGTTCGGACCTTGACATAGCAAACTATTCTTTGGACAGGACTGTCACTCCCTGTTGTCCATATGGGAAGCCAGGGCAACGCACCTGTGGTGGGTGATTAATATCAATCAAGATATTAATACAATTAGTATCAAGTAAGAATTGGAGCCCAGCTACCTGCGCTCCCAAATGGTTGGTCTGAACCAAACGAGCTTGCATTTTTCCTGAAGAAACTGCTTTCAGAGACCCTGTTTATTCTCAGGAAGCATCTTTCATCTTCAGAGCGCTAAGCAAACACCAGCTAGTGAATCCTGTCAGAGGGAGGAGCACAATTCTTGGCGGAGAGGAATAGAGAAGGGCAGTGTGTTATTTTTCCCTGATTGACACATTAATGGAGTGGTCTGCATGCAGATGTTTAGACTGACTAGCAGCAGAAAGGACAAATCCCACAGGTGTTTTAGGGGAGTTCCTCCCTCAAATAGAAGTTATGACAACAAAAACGTGTCATCACTTTGTTCTTTGTGTCCCCGATTTCTTTAAGGAGACTTACGCTGAATGCATTCCAGGCATGGAGGCAGTACCCATTGCTGATGAAAAAGGAAAGAGAGAGAGAAGAAAGGAGAAACCAGCTACGCAGGAGAGTAGCAGAAATTCTCCCAGACTTCCAAAGAGGTCAAAAGAGAGTCAAAGGAGGCTGGGAAAGGGGACAAAAAGACCAGTTCTGCTCAGTGCTGTCTTCCTAATGACTGAAACAAATCCAAGGGGAAGTCGTGTCCAGTGCAAAGGGTCTTGCAGCCAAAGGAAGCTCCCTGCAGCTACTGCTGTCATGAACCAAGCACATATGGAAACTTATCTGCCAATTTCACTTTGCACTTTCAGGGGGTTATCCCCCACAAGCTCCTGCTCCTGTGAAGTCTCCATAGCAGTGAGACCTAGGGAACCAAAGCCCAGCACAGGGTGTGTTTCCGGCCAAGACCATTTCCACACACAGAGCTGCAGCACTGACATGAATCCTGCTCCATGACAGGAAGCACAGACTGAACTGCCCATTTTCCTTCAGCAGTAACCTGGTGCTGTTCTGTGCCAGTACTCTGCAGGGTGACACAGCTTGATTAGAGCTTGAACAGACCTGACCATCAGCTGATCCCTAACCACTACTGCAAACTTGGCCACCCAGAGAACAGTCTCTAGCTAACTGTGCCAGGAAAGTTTGGATGGGAGGAGGAGAGGGAAGAGCTATTTATGCAAATCATATTTGCTAATGGTCCAGATCACAGCATCGCATATGGACAATCCAAAACCTGGATTCTTTTTCTAGAGACTGCCTAGTTTGTAGCACTGGCCAGCTCACAAGCACAGTGCTTTGGTTTATGGTGGCAGGCGGTGATTCCAAGTTTAGGAGCCTCTACCTTCTTGTCATTTAAAGATTTTCTAAGCTGGTTAACTGTAGTATTTAAGGATGTATAGTGCAAGTCTGTCTGGGCCTTTTCACTTGATCCAACACTTCAAAAAACCCAAAATCCAAGAAAAAGGCAGACTGTATTTTTACATGAGCTAAAGCTGACAAAATGAAAATGAAAGTTTTGTGTCACTGTTTAACCTGCAGCACAGTGTGTGTAGATAGGGTAATGCTATTAAGGTACAGTATGCCTTGTCTTAGCAGCAGCATAAGGCAGGAATCTGGAATTGCTTCCCCCTCACAATAAGACATGCAAAGTTCTCTCCAAAAGCATTTGGCAGTACAGGGAGCACTTTGGCAGTGGCAGGAAGACGATGGTTTACTGTTACCCGTTGTATCAGTTCATTTTTTGAACTGTAATTTGCATTGAAAGTTTCCAATAAACTCAAATCTGAAATGAACACAACGGAGTCGTCAGTGCAAATTGTGTCAGAAGGCAACTGAATGGCTCCAGAGAGAAGTCCCAGGTCAGGGACCTAGACCAGCACTAAGCTCTGCCAATGAAGTGGCAGAGGACCGATGAGGTGCCCAGGCGCAGCAGCAGGCTCCAAAGCCCAAGCACCAGAAGCTTGTACATGCAGAGAGCTCACAGGGATGCAGTCGGAGAGCCTCCCTGCCCACACCAGCCAGGCTGTCGAGCAGACTCTGGGCGCAGGTCTGAAGATGACTGTCACTCCCAGGTTACCTCCCACAACCACCCTCTCCAGCAGATGAACGTTTACCATCTCCCAAAGGCTGATTAGAGGCCTGACCACCAGCAGGTCAGATGAGCACGTTATCCAAGCGCAGGCAGCTGAAGGTGCCTGCGTGGAGTGTGGGCGAGCACAGACCATCTGGCTGCACTAAAGGCAGACTGTGAGAGGAAGCGACAAGCTGGGAGAGGGCTGAGTAACTCATCATGCAGGGAAGAGCAGGCACTGCAGAAGGGTGGCATCTTCTGCAGAGAACCGAGCCAAAGGGGCAGGGAGGAGCAGAGCTGGGGACCGAGCTACTGAACTAACGCCCAAGCACAGCTGGCAGCCACACTCAGTGCGCGGCAGCACAGCAGCAGCGATCCGCTGTCTCTTGGTACGCTCTCCCCCATGGAGTGCCTGACGAGCTCCTGGAATGCCTCTGAACCAGCCCTTACGGGGAGATCTTCAGCAGCCTTCCAGTACCTAAAGGGGCCTACAGGAAAGCTGGAGAGGGACTTTTTACAAGTAGTGACAGGACAAGGGGAAATGGCTTTAAACACAAAGAGGGCAGAGTTAGATGAGATCTAAGGAAGAAATTTTTTTACAATGAGGCTGGTGAGACACTGGAACAGGTTGCCCAGAGAAGTTGTGGCTGCCCCATCCCTGGAAGTGTTCAAGGCCAGGTTGGATGAGGCTTTGAGCAACCTGATCTAGTGGAAGGTGTCCCTGCCCATGGCAGAGGGGTTGGAACTAGATGATCTTTGAGGTCCCTTCCAACCCTAACCATTCTATGATGATTCTATGCTACTGGTGGCCTTTTCCTAAGCTGACTTCCTCCTTACCAGGGCTTGGCAACAAACACAGCAGGGAAGGTCTCTACCCCACACTCCATCTGAATTTATGGCATAAGGAGCATAGTGACCCAGAGGATGAAAGGTGAGGATGCATCCTTTCTCAGCTAGAGAGAAGGCAGCATTACCGCCAGCCAGAGACAGGACACACTGCCGCGGTGAGGGAGCAGTAGGAGTATGGAGCAGCAGAGTGGGTGAGCCGATTCAGCCTGTTGCTGGGGTCAGGATCAGGCTGCGCAGGCATCGAATCTACAGCTCTCACAGTGAAAAGGATGCCACAAACCACTGGATACTCAGGGGTGCATCCGATTTGCTGAACTGCAGATTCTTTCCCCAGCAATGCCACACTTGCACATTTGGTCCTCGAGGCCCAGAGCTCCCACTCACCTCTGTGCCCACTCACCATCCATGAAAATACTGCTGCTTATGTGGAGCACAACTGCCCAAAAAACTTGGAAGTACAGTCAATACTTACTTTTGAAACTGGCCGTTGCCTCCAATACTCTCACCTTCTAAGGTTTTCTTCTATTCCTAGTAGCTTTGAAAAAGATTCTCCTGGTAAGATGCCCTTTTGCTGGACAGTTCCAGCAGCAAGAAGCCAAAAGAAGATCCAGGAGGAGCTGTGCTTTGACACCCCTTTGCCCTTGCCTACTGATAATTCAATGCTAGCACGGAGCCGAAGCCTCAGCTGAATCCAGCTGAAGGACAGGGATGATGTTCAGAGATCAGGCACTTTCCTACAGAACACGGTGTGAATCAACGGGCAGATGAGAAGCTCCTCAACTTCCCCATTCAATCCACACTTGGCTGAAACAACTCATACCTCCTTGGCAGAAGCAAGGCTGTGCCTGATGATGCTGTTGAGAGATTGGACAGGACACCCCTAAAATCCCTGGCATGATGTTAGTATTTTGCAAACTAAAGCTTCAGCAAACGTTTCCCAGCAGGAGGGTGACACACAAGAGAGCTTGTTAGTCCAAGGAAACAGCTTCAGCCTGCAGCTGTGCCAGAGTATCCCTCCTGCTCCAGCGCTTAGATGCAGATGTCACTGCCTTAATGCTGGTCATGAGCCCACACTCCCACAGCTCAGGCACACTCCTGCCTGTCAGCTCCTTGCTTTTCTTAGCAAGAGAGGGAGGTGGCTGCACAGCCAGACTTCCCTTCTCCTGCACAGGGACAGGGGGAGGATTTTCACTTTGTTACAAGGGCAAACACAGAACACTGCAAAAAATCCCCTTCTCCCCAACCCCATCCCCTGCCCTACAGAGTTCTTACATGCATTCCCAAAAACCTTGACCACAGAAATATCTTCTTCTTGGTAAATCTGTACACCAGTCTCTTCAAAGTCTCCCAGGCCCAGCTCAAACTGGATTTGAAACAGTGCCTGAAGTATTAAACTATTTCCTCTGCTCTCCCCAGGCAAGCAGGACTGTAGCTGGACACCGCAGTCAGCCTGAGTCCATGAACCAGTGTAGTCTGATCCACAGCTCACGTCTTTGCAGGCCTGTCCACGCATTACGGACACCAGCGGCACTAACATGCCCTTGCCTTGCCCAGCGCACGAACTGCCACTCCAGACACACTCCTGCTGTGCAGGGGCAACACGGCAAGCCCCAGGGGAAACATAATAAAAGCTGGGGAGAGGCAGTAGTCTCACGTGTCCATGTCATCAGCACTGGAGTTAACGAGGCTGGTGGCTGCTGCACCAGCACACCACTCACCTAGCTACAAACCTGGTTCACTGCTAGTGCGAGGTCCCTGTTGTCAGCAAGCACAAAGTCATCTTCAAAGAGAAACAGCTGAACAGCAGACAGAAGTGCCACCCAGGAAAATCAAAGCAGAGCTCTGGGAACAATCAAAGGCACCTGTGATTCTACCCATTAAAAGTCATCTTGCCTTTCAGCAGATGTCCCAAGATACTGACAGAATCAAAGGCTACATCTCTTCCCACTATCTGCACAGAAACTACCCACATCATTTCCAAACATGGCTTAGAAGAGGCTTTAAAGGAAGAGGTTGTTCCTTTTTGGGGTTCTGGATGTACTGTGTGGGCAAGACACTGGACAAAAAGGCTAGGAACCTGATCGGATACTGATAATGGACGGCTCATAGGGTGCAAGATCCCGGTACAAATCCCCACTGCACAAGAATATCCCTAGTTTCCAGGGTGGTGAGGACTGCCAGCAAGTCTCTGTTTCATCCCATCGCCAATAACTCTTGCAGAGTTGAAAGAACATTTGTTTCCTAGCTTCTCCTTAGCTCCCTTATTCTTAAGTCTAAGCTCACATCTAAATAGCCATGAGATGATGGCAGCTTTTGGTCCTTTGACCTGGCTGAGTGTTGGCATAAATCAAGAAGCCACTCAACAGATAATTTCTAATAATTTATTTTGATTCATATTTGCATCCATTTGGAAACACTTAATACAATGCAAAATGGACAAACACACACACACACCAGTCCTTTCAACAAAGCTCACAAATAAGTTTCACAAAGTTTCTTCCTAAAGCTTAGGGTGGAAAAAAAAAAAAATAACAAATAAAACACCAAACCACCTCGCTCTCCAAGGCAGACAGTTCTGCCAGAGCCCATCATCCTTCACATTATCATTAGAGGAGTTCCATAAAGACAAGATCTAGGGAGGCTGAATCCCGCATATCTGAAAAGAACCTCACCTGTCTGCAGAAAGATTTTCGCTGTACAAACATCCTAGTAACAGAAAAAAATTCTAGGAAACTGTAGAGTTCTTCATAGAAAGCAATTGAGGAAAACACATCCATCATCACACACGCTTCCTGCCCTAATGAGGCAATATACATTCATATAGAAGGGAAAAAACCAAACACATGATTAAGACATTAGGCAGTGAGGCAGTATCCATTTTATCTTCAGAAGAAATTTTACAGCAAATGGTTTCATTAAGACACTTGAAAGCAACCTACTTTGAAGAACAAAGAAGCACCATCATAGCATGGAGGCTGAAATGTGATTAGGAGTCACAAGCAGCACTAACTCAGGCTCACCAGTGACTTCTGTCATTTGAGGACCAGTTAAGTGGAGAAACAGTCGGTGTGGGGACCTGTGACTTGCCCATGGAAAAGCAGGATGTAAGAAGACACAGTTAAAGAGCGCCAAGCCACCATTTACAGGGTGTACCTAATGGGGCACAGTTCCCAGTACAGACAGCAAACGGCAGGGTGCTGGCATTTGGACACAGAGGGCACAACAGCAGCAACATCATAACCCTGGGCCCTTAAGAGCTGCTCTGGTCTGCAGAAGTCCACACCATTCATGAAACAACAAATGCCTCAAAGCATCACGGTTAAAGCCGTATAAACTCACTTCCAAGTCTGGGCGGACAAACATCAAGGGCAAGTTTTACCACAATCCTTCCTTGCTTCTGGCCAGCTCTGGGTCGTCTCTTCTTACACAGCAAAAGCTTCCAAGGGTCAGCAGGGTGCTGTTTCCGGCGCTGCCAGGTGCGTGCATGCAGTTTTACAGGTGGAACACTGGTCCTTGCCTCAAGGCCACACACTCATGACCTGCATGTCCCCTGTCAAATGCAGCCCGCTCCCACTACGCCAGCGCCCAGGCAGCACGGATCTAGGCAGCTACTAACACAGGGAGCGCAAGGACTGACTCTTTATGCTTGGGTTTTAACATTTTTCTACCAGCGTGTCAAGTAAAGCTCAGCAAGAAAACACTCAGAAAAGGAGTTGTCCTTTAGCACACGAGACCACAAGAAGCCTGCCCTCACCACAAGTGCAACAGGGAACGCCACCCTCCAAGGGCTTCTTTCTACTTCTCAGGGCTATCAAAAGGACAGCTCCAAAGTATGCATCTGAAGCCTGCAGCTCTTCTACCCTTTTAGATATCCTGTTACTTCAGCTTCCCATCTCCCATGGCATGCACAAGGTAAATCCTCTCAGGAAGAAGCCAGGATGGTAAACAAAAGCCATGTCCTTAAAGAAGAAAGTCACCATTGCTACACAGATTACAGCCACATGAACTTCCTATTCACTGGGGAATCAGCACTGCATTCTCCTCCTAAAAAAAAAAAAAAAATCAGCCTTACAACCCTTTTAGTGTCCTGAATGGTTCCAATTCCCTCTGGGGTGAATGCAAACAGAAATTTAACACTTCACCTGCACTATATTGGAGTGGGCTCGACCCAGGTATGGAATGGTTACATTAGTCCAAGGTCCTTTGTTCCTGATCTGCACTCCGAAGTCCACACTGCCTGGGAGACACCGCTGAGAGAGTCTCGGTGTAAGCAGCTCAAACGAAACCTCCCATGCCAGAGCTCACCAAGGGACAAGGCTACACTGAGACAGGCTGCAAAGTCATCACCAGTCTCCGTCTGGGGGAGAAAGGGAGCACCAGGCACTGCCAGGGAAACGATCTGCTCTGCTTTCTCCCAGCCAGAACTCTTCTCTCCCAACTCTGAGAAACCACTTATCTCAAACCTGTAAATGCTCCAGAGCTCGTTCAGCTCGTGGGCTCGTAACTGATTTCTATGCGTGTAACTTGCAGGGACAGAGGTTGGCTGCCTCCATTGCAGGGGTTCATTCAAGCCCAGGAAGTCATTCTGCCTTCATCTTCCCAGGGGCCAGCAGGATGAGAAGATCACAAACCTGGCAGCCCACAGCACCCTCGTCTCCAGGGTTGCCAAGCTCCAGTTCATCTCAGCAGGCACCACAAAATGCATATGTACCACAGAAACATTTACAGACAACTCATGCGGAGGTGAGATCTTTGTGTGAATTTAATGTCCTAGGATCAGGCTCCAAACAGTCAGAAGGTCATAGAGGAACAGTTAGCACAGTCCAGCTGGGTGCCTTTTTCTTCACATTAGGGACAGAGAAGTGGTCAGAAACCTTTTTGTGTGTTCAGTTAGTGGCAGGAAGCAAGAGAGGTGTCCCCTTTACCTCCTCATAAAAGTTTGCTCACTGGATGAAAAGTCGTAAGAGGAAATAAGGGACATTCAGTAAGTCAGTTACTCTCTGCACAGCCACGTTCCAAGTGCAGCTGCTCCTCAATCAACTGCTGGTTATAGAAAGTGCCACTTGAGGAGACCAAACAGTGCAAAGAGGGACATGGTCTTCACCTTAAACTGGGACACGTAACCAGGAGCACACACCAAATGTGGCAGGGATCTCCAGGGACGCCCCCACCCCTGCTACCTTTTGGCACCGTGCACTATCCACTCGTTCTTCAGAGACCACGCACAGCAGCACGCAGCCGATTTGCATCGCTCAGCCAACATCCCCCAGCTGCTGGTCCCGCAGGCGGAGTTAGGGGTAGGCATGACCTGTGCATGCTGCACATGCATCTAAACATCAGTAGCCAGGACAAGGCTCTCCCCTCTGCTGCTGCATCTCAGGCCCAACCCGTAACTCTTGCACCATGGTCCCAGGCTTTTCCAGCCAGACCTTTCATACTACTGCAGGGCCAACAACATGCACAAAGGGTTTAAAACAAAAGAACAACAAAAAAACACCCCTCTCACAAAAACCAGAAACCATCACCACCAAAACCTTGTGATTCCAGCTGAAGCTCATGTCCTGGCAATAAGACAGTTGCAGGCTGATGAGGAACAAGTGGCATTCTTGCAGAGCACGTTTAACACATTCATTCACCTGCCAGTACAGGTCATCTAACCCCAACACAGAGAGCTCCAACACATTCTCTCCCTCTCCCTGCACACGCAGGGACCGAACTGTTTCTTTGCTTTCTGGCTTAAGAAAACAGATCTACAGTCAGGCAGCTCCAGAGTGACTGGGTTGAGAGGAGACAGGATCGCTATGTTATTAGCAACACAACCAAGATGCTACCTACCAAAAATGCTGTTGGTAGAATTGTCTGCTCTCCCACAGACTCCCTTCTCCCATAGAGGGAGGAAGAAAGGTAGTTTCCATAAAGCTACAGCAACCCCAGACAGCACTTGTTTTCCTCTCAGAGTCCACTGTTACGTGTTGCTTCAAAACATCTCCTTCCCACTTGGTATATTTATGTACTGTCTTATGGCACAAGCCATAATCAGAGCAGAAGCACTTTAAGGGAGATGAGCCAAACCTTCAAACCAACACAGACCCAGTTTGCAGAAAGAACGACGAGATCGAAGATGACAGTGTCTTCTCACCCAGCTGGACAGACAGGGATGGAATAACAGAGGTGAAGGGATCTTACAAAGCCCTACAGGAACGTTGCTCATGAAGGCACTTAATACAAGCCTGTATACAGCTGGATGGAAGAGAAGACAGAAAAAAATCCAACAAAACAAAACAAAACCCAAACGACCACACCAGAGAGGAGGGAGCTGCTCAGTGACTGCCTAGACAGTCTCTTTTAGCCAAAGGGCCTGGCTTCTGCAGCAGTCCATCTGTTATCTGCATCAAAAGTTCACCCTCCTGACATCTCTGAAATACCACACATAGGTACGAGCCATGGATTCCTTGGCCTTTGCAGGAACCAGTGCATGCTCTGACGTTTAGCAGTGGGTTCCTCTTGATGCCAGGGTTCACACCTGACAAAAACTCAAGTTCTCAAAACCTCGTGCTCTTCTTCCTGCGGATCTGAGCTGCACAAAGTTTCTCACAGCAGAAAAGGCAGCAAGTCTCTCCAGGTTTGTGCGTATGGCTTACTGCTTTCTGCATCCTATTGCTGGCTGCACGTGAAGAACCATTCTGCCTGGGAAAGCTTCCGACATTGTCAGCGGATAGGCAGCCCATACACCAACGGTGAAGAAAGGGTGTGGGAGGAGGGAGTCCTAGTGGAAGGGGCCGTTCCCCTGCTAAAGAAAGTCAGTCAAGGTCATCTGCAGAAAGAGGGGAGTCACACGATGTCTTCAGCAGAGCGCTGTGGAGGAGAAGACCCCAGGCTCAAGAAATGGCCCCAGTTGCATAGGAAACCCCTGTTATACTGGCCAGTGTCTATCACTAACCCACCCAGGAGCCTGCGCCCAGTGTTGTCCCGCAGAGCCAGCCGAGCTTCCCTCTCGGTCACGTTGTAGCTGATGTTCAACAGCTGGATAAGGAGGATGTATCCCATGCCAGCTGTTACAATGGCACAGTACCACACACAGGTGAACGACAGAGCAGAGCTGGCAGCAGGGAAAAAGATGGGAAGGAAGCCATTTAGTTTTGGAGCAGCTGCTTTAGAGTGACTTTCCCTGGTAATCACTATCCTTTCAAATCCCTGTCTACATCTGCCACAGTGATCTCACTTTGCTGCTTTCATCAGATAATCCTTAAAGGCCCTCTCAAAATTAAAGCTTCAGGGCTTACTTAACAAGAGCTTTTAGCACTACCAGAGCTACTCCTGCACGCTGCTATCGCACTACCTAGCGCTTTACTCAACTGTGTAAAGATGCTCCATCCTTGTTTAAGGACACGACGATGCTCACACTCAATCCATCATGAAATGGAGCACGGAAGAAGGTGGAGTCCCTTATGCTGGCGTACTCTGCCCATCGGTGGTAGCGCCAGTCTCTGAACTCGTGTCCAGCACTTCTCACCGCCCTCCCTGCCAGACAAACCACACTAACACTGCCTGTGCTAAGCGGATAACTCGTAGGGACAGTCGCTAGATAAACAGTGAGGGATGATAGGGAGAGAGAGCACGTGGATTGCAGACTGTCAGGCCCGTTACCTGCAACTGGGAGCAAACGTATTTAAGGGTGTCTCTATATAGGACACAATAAACAAAGACTTCAAATCCCAGCTCCTCCAACAACTTTTTCCAAACTAACAGTTTTTTCCAAACTCAGACTCCTCTCTGAGTCTCAGGCTCCCCACCTTGATAGAAGCAGTGATGAATCCCTGCTTTCCACAGCTTGTTAAGGAGCACTTTTTAGTCAGGTTTGACAGCCAATACTGCTGGCCTGGAGCACAGAGTGAGGAAGAGGAGCTAAGCTGCCTGAACAAGCCCGTTCCCATCCCAGCTCTCTCCCAGACAGATGTCTCACCTGTAGTCAGAATAGGCCCCGGGGCAGTAGAACAACGCCACGAATGGAGTCCGGCCCCTACAGATGGTGCGCAGGGTCAGCGTAATCCCATACACAGAGGTGAGCATGAAGAAGGAGAGTGCAAGGATGAACGCTTGGTGGTTCTGCTCCCCTACACAGCTGTTAATCCTCCAAAAGGAAAGAAGAGATTACTTTGGTTAAAAGGAAAAGAAGCTGGCTGCCCTTGCCTCCTCCCTGCCCTAGCCATCCAAGAACCTAATTTCCAAGGTACTCTTACACAACGCAGGCTAAGAACTTCGAAACACGTTCAAAGAAACTTTATAGCTTTTTATGGAAAGGTTACAGGCACAAGTCAATAGACCAGTAGGGTAACGACGGTGGACCGCTTGCCTCAAACTTCTAGCAAGTGTAGCATCCTTGGCTGAGACACACCTATACCCTACTGCTCCTTGGTCCCAGTACCGCACCCACACAGTCAGCTCTGGGCTCCCTTGCCCCAGGAGAGCACTAATGCAAGGTAACGGCAGGATTGCTAGTGCTCCACAGACCAAGCCAAAAAAAAAAATACACCAGATGAAAACCAGTAGAGAGCCAAAGGCACTTCTGAAGCACACTGCAGAAGTTATCAGCGATCAGGTCATCTCACTTTAAGTTGTTCTTCAAAACAGTAAGTTTGTATTTAAAAATCTACTGTTTTAAAGAACGTCATGAGGTCTTGCACATAGCAAAAGCAACCCCATTTGACAGGGACTGTAAAAGAAGAAGCAAATTAAAAAGGAGAAGGAGAAAGAGAACATATGTAGCCTGAGCAGCGCAAAACCTACCAGACACAGTGATGGTCCAGTCTCCGCACACACCTGCCACAAAGCCGGCAATGCCCTGCTCGGGCTGGCCTGACCAGCTGGCATTTCGTGCACCAGTCCTTTTTCACACCCTCTGGCTCCTCAGCTGATGTCCTGGAAGGGCCTTTGGCCTCCCCGTTCACAGCACGGCTGCTGGCAGCTCCCGACGCGGTGACGCCATGGAGCCCGTTGGCGCTCCCTCTAACGCTCTTGCTGGGCGGATTCTGGCGCGATGGCTGCTCGCTGCTTGCTGGGATGGGAAGGTAGCCGGGGTCTTTCTTGGCTCGGAACAGGGCTGCGAGCATGAGAATCAACCCGCACGTGAGAGCAACCACTTGGGAATACCCAACGTGGCCTCGGGGAACCACCTCCTGGAGAAACACATAGTACATGTAGCCCAAGGAGAAGAGGCCCAGGCTCAAGAAGAGGAGGGTCCGTTCCTTCCGCCGGTGGGTGAGGTAGTAGTACCACAGCACCACCACGGGCAGCGACGTCAGGATGACGAGCCCCAGCAGGAAGTGCAGAGCAGCAACGTGCAGGAAGACGGGCAGCAGGACGAGGGGCGGCACGAGGCTGACGTTGATCCTC